GACCTCAGATATACCATTCATAATTCACCAGGGGATATAACACCTCCCCTTTTTGAGAAATCCGGATTTTAAAATTTCTCGAATTCCTCCTCCCCCACGAAAAACTGTTGGATCCTCATATAACCAAGTTACTATTAATGCGATATGTTTGTCATGTTTGTCACATTTACCAGGGAATGAATCATAATCAGTGGATTCTTGATTATCATTTAATGCATCTGACATTTTTTTCTCATTTTTATAAGAGAGTTCAACAGGAACATATGAATCATCAAAATAATCTAAATCTAGCAGAACAATTAGAGAATTTTGATCATTAGATTCATTAGAAACATTTTTCGCATTATGACTAGTTTCATTTGGCGCCACTGTACTCAATATACTGCTCGATTTGTTTTCCGTTTCTTCATGAGCGGGTACTGCAGCAATTTCATGAGCATTTAGCAAAACATTTACTTTCTGTGAACAGGATAATTCGCTGTTTGCACGTCCTTTTTCGGGGATAATAGGACTTGGACCGTCTATAGGGCATGTCTCTGAAACAGGTGGTACTGGACTACTGGGCTGATCATGTATAACTGCTACTGCTGCATTTAAATTACTGTTTTTTGCGGATTCATTGAGGCTTTCCTCTGCATATTCATTTGTTCTGCAATCGATTTCCAGCTCTGTACGCAACTTAGAAATTAATGCGTCGACTTCCGTTGCACCCCCAAAGCATGGGTGATTCAGTAGCTTTGCGTGTAACTTGTCAATGAATTCCGATTGACTTTTTCTAAAACGCTGCTCTTGTCGCTGGATTAGCAACTGAAATTGATCGGAAGTTAAAGCCTTTTTTTACCCCGTCGCCAGTTGTTATAACGTATGCCCTCTTAATACATAAATTTTAATATCTTTTTATTTTACCTGACCGTTACCATGTTTAACAGAAGTTTATTATCACTATTATTGTAGTCACGCGGGATTCGAACCCAGGACCTACCAGTCTCGCGCCCTAGCAATTAACTGATAGACCACTGAGCCGGCCGGCATCCAGCGGTCTAACCTCAACCAATCCACGAAATTGTGCGACCACATTCCAGGTTTTCCATGGTGGTCTAGCTTCAATTGACTCATGATCTTAGCCATGTAAAATTATGCTTTTAGTCAACTTCCCGCTAAAAAATTGTTTCATATTACATATTCAGTACTTGATATGCTGGTAAAAGTTAATAATGAACAAGGGTATAATTCCGTTTGATAGATAATTAAATAAAATAAAATTCACAGGTTATTTAGGTATGTAACAATAACTAGTGAACCATTTGTAATTTGCACTTATTGGTACCCACCAACGAAATGCAACCATAATCGATAATTTATAAACTCGAACCTGTACAACCTAATGAGATAGCTAGATATTTCAATATTTGGGTTCTATTGGCTAATCTTCATAAATTAATCGAGTGCACTAATCGATTAGTAGAAAACGATTTTAATCACATTCAATGATAACAGTATTCAATTCGTCAAGATAATAAGTCCCTTGATGATAGAAACATTGAAGAGGAGAAACTTCACTGATGAAAACAGAAATGTACATTTTAAATTAAAACACACCTAAAAGTCAATAATCACGAAATTCATTCCTAAAATAATAAATTGATCTAATTATAGTAAACTTTGTTATGCACTGATAATAGTATGTGTAAAACACCGAGAACAATGAAGTGGAACTATGTATTGAGAATCCTTAACAGTTATCAGTAATTACTTTTCATTTTGCTAAAGTGTGAGATTGAGGACAATTCCTTCTTAGATTTGAGTTAATGATAAAAACCTCCACTTAATCAATCGATTGTTTACATAGTTTTTATTTTATCTACCTTGCTCTACTAATATCAAAACGGCACCAAAATATATGACTGAGAGAATGTAATCAGCAATGACTTGTTAACAATGACTCAGCTTTTTAGAATAAATAGATTGTGTCTAGCATAGGAATCCAGAATGAGCGTCTCGTCTTATATGGGAATTGTCGGCTGAATGTACCAACATCCTAGTGTTAGTGTACACAGTGGGACTCAAACCCAATGATTTTCATTGCATTTGTTTAACGTGTTGCTCATTTAACTACTGAGTCCAGATAACCACTGACTTTCTCAATATGTATGATGTTCATATGATTATTAGTGAGTGCTTGATATTCAGAGCTGACAAAGTCCATCTGAATAACACTGACTATAAAAATTAATAACCTAGAATAACTAAATATCTCATGATCATTTTCTGTGAGCGCAACTCATTCACCAAATACAAATCTACAGTCTTACTTTGGGCTTTGAGTTACAGTGTGTAAAGGCTACTGATACTAACCCATGGTTGCCTAGGCGAAAGAGCATCCTGAGGTTATCTATAACATTTTCGCAGTCATTTTCCCGTTTATTTAATGCAAGGGGATGCATATAAGAGTGAAATTTTTCACTAAAGATCGCATTTTGAGAGGATGTAATTATATTCAACTATTTACTAGGTAAATAACCAGTGACTTGTGCAATGGTGGTGAATTCTAGTCCACTTGTGAAATTTCTTGTTCTTTGGAGAAAATAAAGTAGCATAATGCTTATCTATTTACCTAAGATATTAAAAAATAATACGTAACATGCTTCAACAAAGTTGCATAGCACACCTGGATATACTAAATGACGATATGCGCATAAATATTACTGCATATTGGAGTAAAGTCTGATGAGGATCTAATCGAAAAGAATATTGTTCTCTAATCTATTTTGTCCTCATACACAATATGGGAAATTTTAAAACTTTACGATCATGTGGGGACCCGATTGTATTCAGAAATTATATAACTTCACACAGTTTAGTGATTAACTAAAAATAAATAGGTACCAGCCACAGTTTATGTGGCGAATCCATCTTTAGTCCCCTTATGTAGCAGACTTCATTCCAACAAACTAGAAAAAATAGAAAGCAAGTATATTAACGCTTCCGTTCGTTGAATAGGGTTTCGGTACACATACATCAATCCATAATATCAAAGATCTAAATTCTCCTCCATGTAGAATATCTGCATTTATTATTCAACTTCTTTTCAAAACACAATAAATGTATTTGAAGTCTTAGAGATAGATTAATTGCAGTCTTGATTCTCAACAATGGGAAATAAAAAATCATTTCTAGTGAATTCTATTTGTTATTCAAGATAATTCTGGGTTTTAATAATAAGCATGTATTTGATTAATAAAAAGAATGAATGAAATCCTGGTTAATAGGTGATACGTAATGATAATGTTGATAATAATAATAATGTTGGGACCTTACCGCCGGAGACGGATATCCGTGGGATAAGGCGAGGTGTGCATTTTGAAGGGTCGACCTTTTCTAACCCCACCACTTCCTTGTGGGAAGGCATCATGGCTGTTATGCTGGTTGTCTGAAGGAAACACCTTACTGTCGTCACACATCTGTACAGTCAGCAGTACGACTTCGCCTTCGGACCTTGAGTTTGCTGTTTTTAGTCTCACCGCTCTTCAACCGACCTGCCTGGCATGGTAGGATATTGAGAAACGATTGTCCCAACCAGTAAAGCTCGATTGGTTCATCACGATAGGCAAGCCCGACCACCACATCAAGGTAGCAGCAACGGTCGGGATAAAGGAGGAGGGTTGGGCATGGGGTTAGCGACCCCGTCGCATAGAAAACCAACTCGCTAAAAAAACGCTAACCAGAAAAAGTTATTCAAACCATTGATATATATATATATATATAAAACTATATTTTAGCGGAAAGAATCCCAAATTCCAGAATAGTAACTGTTGTAAATATCAAATTGTCAAAACACTAATTCATAACTTCTTTTGTACAAAATTTTATTAACTAAACTTTAACACACAGTTTGACCCACATGTTATCCTCTGTACTGACCAGTCTTATCTTTAAAAATGAATATATACTGATCACATCTAACTGATGTTAGAATCGGTTGGGGCAACGAAAGTACAAATTACAAACCAATTAATCAAACAAGAATATAATGTGAGAAGAAGAAAAAAGAGAAATGAACTCGGTCGGTACAAAATATGTGAATTAATTTATTATAATACTGAAAAATATTACCATTACTACTTAATACTACTACTACTACTATCCATTTGAGAAAATAACACACATATACAGATGTATAAGAAAATGTATAAAAACCAAATACGACACAATATCGATAAGTAGATGCACACAAATTGAATGATATTGTGTAGGAATGAAAAGAATAAGATAACTGACTACTAAATTATACCTCTTTGTACAGCACAAAATACACTTTACGTATCTAAATAATATGTATATATGTACACATATGTTGATATTAAATACTGAGAATTGGATAGAGAAAACAAAAATGGACAAAGTATGGAGTAAAGATAATCACAGTAAATAATACAGTTAGATAGATAGATATCTTGTATTTAACATAAAGAATAAAGGAGGATAGTTATTATTTGTACGCACCAATGAACTTTATGCTCCATAGTCAATATATCAAACACACGAACATACCAATTTATGGTATAGAAAAGGAATTCATGCAAATTATTTCAAAAGAATACTGTATTTATTGTAATTATTTAAAAAAAATTCTTTTGTACAGAAAACATATATTTGGTGTGTGTGTGTGTATATATGTGCGTGATGAGGTAATTATTATCTAACAAAAAAAACGAATGAGATGAATTTTTTAGAACAGAGGGACAAAAACATCAATGGTAGGGGAGGGTTGTTGATAAATGGAACGAACACTAAAATATTTTTTTTTAAAACAATGACTAGTCGGATAAAAATTTTGGGTTGGTTTAGATATTAAGTTGATTTGGGTGTGGTGGTTGTATTGTTATCGATTAATAGTACCATCCAAATTTCGAGCTGTTTTTTTTTCTAAACATTCTTCACTTCTCTAGTATGATGATATTATCTTCTTTGAATGCCGACAACTAATACTACTATTACTATTATTTCATTTTGAGCATTTTCATTTTTGGCATTTTCTTCGATTTTTCTTTACGTTGTTCTTTCTCCTTGAAATAAAAAAAAACACGAACATAAATAATAGGGAAGTTTTTGGATCCAAAACGTTTTTTAGGACAATAGTAAACATGATAATGTGGATTTTACTTACCGTAACGTTAAACAGTAGGGGAAACTTAAATTACTTTTTATAAAATGAGGTGAAGTGAACACATGTACATATGCACAAGTAGGTACATAATTTTGTACTGATAACTAAATGATCCATCCAATAAATACGAGAATTATAATTGAGCAATCATAATATTTTACTCTCCAAAAAAAGGAAAACGGTGATATGAAGGTGAAGATGTGATAAGAAACGATGAGAGGGATGAAAAGTTTGACTCTTACAAACTTTCAAAGATATTTTGTCCAGTGGACGACACAAATTAGATAAGCATGAGGAGTATTTTGAAAAGGATAAGAGACTAATATACCTTAAAACTAGTAAAATAAACATTTTGTGACTTCAATCTGCTTATTAATTGAATTGATTGCATAACTGTAAATCACTCTAATTTTTTACAGATTACAAGTAAACTGCTTTGGAATGAAATATCAAGATTAAGATGTCTTTAAATATTGTTAAACTAAGCTTAAACAAACAAAAGTATAGTACATTTTGACGAATCAACATCAAGGTATCGATATAAAAGGGAGTATGAATATAATAGTTTCTCGAATGTTGAACAACTTAGTCATTAAACAAACAGGAACTTGCAATAGATAATTAGGCACTTAAATTACAATTCAAATATCACTCAAATTTATTTTGTTTACTGTTAAATAATAGAACGCTAAATACTCTGAATGCATGTTCAATATAAGTGATATTGAAATCTATTCATAATACAAACATATATAAGCAATCATAAACTTACCTCAAGCTTTCGAGCTTTCTCAGGATCATCCTCAGCCATTATACGCTCCTTAGCAGCTCGTAGGCGTTCACCACGACGATTTTGAGCAGCTTCCTGTCGCTGACTGTGCATTAACTTAAGATGTGAGTCATGTGCACGTTGCCTATTTCGTTCAGATTTAGCCTTGCCCTAGATTAAACGTATAATGTTTATTTATATAATGTGCAATACTTCAAAGAGGCATTCTTGAAAAGATTGACCAGTTGTTTGGACTACAAGCTTCTCCACTTTAGGAATTTTGCAATGCTAGATTTAGAGCCATTCCTAGGAATTCTAACTCATAAAACTTGGACAGCTTCAAAGTAAATCTTGCCGATCAAGCGGAAAGAACCCCACTTCAATCATTATACAACGACCCATAAAGATTGACACATCAAGTTCTAAACATACATTTATGATGAGCAAACACATATATAATCAACTAACTACGAAAAGAATGGAGTGGTGGCTTAGTGGTTAGGAAGTTTGGCTCTCGGTCATTACATTCGTTGCTCTGCTCAAATCACTGTTCTTAATCGTTCAAAAATCTCCTTATTACTGAGCACCATACCATTAACCGGAAAAACACATGGAAAAAACAAAACTATCTAAGCGAATTAAATTAGATATACAATCTGATCGAAGTACTTTTATCTTCACCCCCTGTTATATCCCGATGAGAATAATGAATGGTAACTGTTGGATTCTAGCACCAGATCCAACAAATCTGCTCAAAGGGGAGGTGCTAGCGGGACACCGATTAGATTAAAGCATGTTTTATGCACGATTGCGTTGGCGCACATTGATTGGCTAATTATTATCCAATCAACGCTAGATATTTAGAGAACACTCTGGAACCTTATCGTGTAAAAACTATAAATCTACTAACTTATTTCTTCCTTCCATCTACCCTTGTTGTTCGGAATATAATTTCTTGCCTGTTCAACCGTGTTCTGATTTAGGAACTTGTCGAGTGAATTGGTGTTCAAGAATACTAAGTGATAGGAATAGCAGGGTTGTAATAAGAGAAATTATAACAGTTTCGAATCGCTGCTACTTTCGAAGTGTATTGTTGGATAGAGTAGGTCGGAAGAATATTAAGAATAGTAAGATCGTGACATGAGACTAGTTCATGAAGTCATGGAGTTGTGTTGGCAGATATAAACTATCTTGCTAGAATGTATGAAGCAACTGTGACTAATGGTTGGAGACGTAAGATGATATTGCTTGAAATTAGCTGAAATAGCGCAAAAGCATTTACTTATTATCTTTTCTTGGATGTTTAGCTTTTCCACTCCTTCACACATACGCATGTATTTCATTCCTTCCCTTTAAACTGTATTCTCGACGTTTAGTCGTATTTCTCTCCATTGATATGACGATTATTTCGAAAGTTTTATGATTCATATTGTTACCTTTATCTCTTAATAACATAATCACACCTTGAGCTAACGAATATTTGTGCCAAACTCCAAGTTAGTAATGACTAACTGATTGTACAATATTATATATTTCAGAGTTTATGAAAAGAATCAATTAACGTCAAATTTGACAATGTACAATTTCGATTAACTAGACCAACTAGTCTTATACAAACAACTTTCCAAAAAATATTCATGTTTATACTATTTAATTTGAAGATTAACATTATCTATAACAGTTATATTTAAAGTTGCTAGAAACTAATGTAACCACATTATTCGTAATAGCAAAACAGTAACAAAAATTAACCAACAGTTATACCTCTTTACTAAGACGAAATCGCCGAACTTTTTCAATCACATAGAAAATAAAATGGAACAAGGCAGTAGCCGATTCGATTGGTTGCTGATGTTGTTGATCAAGATTACCATTAGCATTATTATTTGATGATGTAAGTGATGTTGAGAAGGATTTTGACTTCGTTGTTGTTGGAACATCTGCATTTTTTAAAAGGAAGATTATCAAAATCAACAAAATAGACTGAATAATTATCTCATACAACAACAAATGTATTCAGAGAGAATACACCCCCAAATGCCCTGGTACGGCCGAGAGTGGGGAGAGTCCGCTCTCCCTCTCCAAATGCTCTCACATGGCCAGCGAATATATAGCCTCTGCCAGGGAAGTCCTACTCACTGCCTTCTCGTGGCGGGGGTGTTGTTTACGAAAGTGAGAGGACGAAAAGCGAATGTCAGGCGCTTTAACCGGGTTGGTGGATGTGGAGTGTCCATCTAAGGGAGTTGGAAAACCCTGATTCCAAACCAATGGTGCACATCGGCTCCAGTATCCTGAGGGAACAAATGGCGTACGAATCAATCATTGATCACCGGCTACCATGGGAATGCATCTCCTCACGATGCTCCACTGTCTTGTGGACTAGACCTTCAGATCAAAGGCTCGGGGTGTGGCTCCCTAAGAAAAACCACCTGCTTCAGTCTGGGGACCTGGGCAATATCACAGCCCTCACACAAATCCAATGAGATTTGTGAGGCACATATGTATCTGGTGCTTCCTTGTATCAATATTTATGTGTTTAAATAAAATAAAATAAATATCGTGAAGATGATCATTAAAACGGTTATAATAGTAATTGAAATCAACTGATTACGTAACACGCTTATCCATATTTTAGTTTATATGTACACAATGAAGAGGAGTGATGTGACAGACTAGAATTACAACATAATTTACTTGAGAATGAGAGACCTGTTAAATTGATATTGACCAATAGGTTAGGACATTAAATCATGTTTATTTCTCTGTTAACATTTAACATATAAGCATATTATTTTATTACAAAAAAGCCTATTCTACTAGGCAGCTGTTTTCTTTTCGGATAGTAGTTCAATTAGGGGGTGAACTTACGTCAACAACTCAATCTCGTGAGTAGCCACTACTTAGTCGCTACTTCGTACTAATCCATATCATCTACTGATCGGCATTCTGTTCATTTATTTTAACAATGGAAATTTCGTTCATCAAATTAACACAGAATTACTCTTGCATCATATAATACATAGGATGACGATTATGTCAAGTATAAAACACCTTTTTTGTAACATAGTGTGTTGGGGATGTCAAATCCCCAGAAATTACTTGGTAAATGGCTTAATTTTGTTATTTTATTTTGAAAATTTGAATTTGGTTGTTTTCGCGCCAAAAGCGCTCTTTTTAACTTCACGTCATATATCCCACTTGTAAGCTATCTTAAACGCTATTGGTCCATTGTTCCTTTGAGTGTGCTATTTTATAATGATGCCCAAGGACAATTTGTTGCTGTATATATACGCTCGGGTTTTCCCCCGGGTTTTTCCTCGCCTCTACTCGGCTGATTTCGGAATATATATTCCTTTACTTTGCCTTCGAGTTCTTCATCTAGTTAGCGGGGCCTGGGACAACAGATTAGATTAGCTTATCGTGTCATTGTGTCATCGGCCTTTCGTTTGGTACTGCGGAATCGACTTAGTTCAAGCATATCATAATGCATACAATTTTATTCGACCACGATAAAGCCGACATTCAAATTTCACTAATATACATATTTGGATGTATCAAATCCAAAATATCTCAGCTACCTAACACTACTACTATTAATAGTATAATTAGACTCCATATGGTACAAAGAATTTTAGACAAAGTGATATGTTTGACATAACACTTCGAAACAGGGATATGACAACTTCCTTAACTCCTAGATCCGGCTACTTCAAAAAAGCAAATCTTGTGAGAAGAGACAAAAAACACTAATTCACATTCAATTTTGTACTGAATACATTTTATGATCATTAGTTAAAAAATTCGTGAAAAATAAGTAAACGTCGCATGAAATTACAATTAATTAGTACAATGAAAGTATACTGGTGATTTAACATCCTCAAAGAGAGGTCTTGAGTAGGGCTCGTATAAACTGGAAACTTGAAATCAATAAACCTTACAATCAATATTGTCACATTTCATAAGATAATTAAGGATTAATTTTATCTCGTTGTTGATATACAGGAGTGAATTCTTATCAGTCTTTGTAGGTAATACGGCATTATGAGCGAGTTATCTTGATAGAACTATTTTATAACAAGCTTCAGAATAATATATGGATTTTGATAAAAAGTGGTAACTTTACAGCCGGATGCACATAAATCCGAATTCATATATATTTTTAAATGTTATGACATTCTTGAAATGGTGGAGTTGTATCTCAGCAGTAAAATTTTAGTGCATATGCATTATATCAACTGGGTGGATGAAGCGGTATCCTAAATAATAGGTCATATAACAACAGTTTATTTGAGAGATTGATCTTAGCCAGACAAGTACTAAAAACCATGGTTGTTTCGTCCTACTATGAGACTCCTCAGGAAAGCGCATTCACAACCTCAACAGGGATAATGCGTGACTCTTTCAAATAAATTAGGAAGTTTATCAACTATCAAAACTTACTAACTAAAAGATACAAGATAATTAAAGTTTGATGATAGGTATATAAGAAACTTACATCTCAAAGCAAAAATAAGAGCTTTCTGTGTAACTGGAGGTTTTGTAGGAGTAGTTGTATCTCTGTAAGGTAAGAAAAACAGTACAACTCACATTAATATGTATTTCAAATTCATTTAGACTTTGAAAAAACTTTAATACAGTTATTTGTGGACATTCATTTAGATTGAAAACAGTTTACGTCATAATTAAACGAATGACAATTGAAAACTGGATAAAGGTTTTACCTCTTCTGGGAGGAGCACTATAAAATGCCACACATAGACTGAACTAAGGAGTTTTAGGTTACTCAGTATGAAAACTAAAACAAAAAGGCTAATGGATAAGCAGTCAACCTTAGTGAACAGCTGAAAAATACTGCCTAGGGACGAAAAACTGTTTAATGTGCCCCAGTCTCTGATTATCCCACAACTAATACCTATTCATGATGAGAACTATCGAAAAAATTATGCATATCATATTTTCTTTGCCTTCAAATGCCCTGAGACGGATGAGGGAGGGGAGAGTCCGCTCTCCCTCTCAAAGTGTTCTCACATGACCAGGCGTATATAGCCACTGCCACGGAAGTACTACTCACTGCCTTTTCGCAGTGGGGGTTTTGACTACGAAATCGAGAGGACGAAAAGCGAATGTCCGGCGCCTCAACTGGGGTAGTGGATACGGAAAACCCACCTAGGGGAGTTAGAAAACCCTAGTTCCAAACTAATAGTGCCCATGAGCTCCAAGATCCAAGGGGAACAAATGATGTATGAACCTATTGTTCACCGCTTACCATGGGACTCCACCTGCTAACGTTGTGGCACTGCTTTTAGTTTAGACATGTAAGTCAAAACTTGGATAGTGGCCCCCTAAGTAAACTATTTGCTTCGGTTTGGGCACCCTGGTGGTATCACAAACCAAACATAAATCGAATGAATAGTGGCGCATTTCCATTTGGTATCCTCTTATACTAATATTTTTATTTATTTATTATTTTATTTAAACACATAAATATTGGTACAAGGAAGCACCAGATACATATGCGCCATACAAATCTCATTCGATTTGTGTGAGGGCTGTGATACTGCCCAGGTGCCCAAACTGAAGCAGGTGGTTTTCTTAGGGGCCCACACCCGGAGCCTTTGACCGAAAGATCTAATCCACAAGGCAGTGGAGCATCGTGAGGAGATACAGTCCCATGGTAGCCGTTGACCAACAACAGGTTCATTCGCCATTCGTTCCACCAGGATACTGGAGCCCATGTGCACCATTGGTTTGGAATCAGGGTTTTCCAACTCCCCTAGGTGGACCCTCCGTGTCCACCAACCCGGTTAAAGCGCCGGACATTCGCTTTTCGTCCTCTCAATTTCGTAAACAACACCCCCGCCACGAGAAGGCAGTGAGTAGGACTTCCCTGGCAGAGGCTATATATTCGCTGGCCATGTGAGAGCATTTCGAGAGGGAGAGTAGACTCTCCCCACTCTCGGCCGTACCAGGGCATTTGGGGGCATACTAATATTTATGTGCTTCAATATACAAATAAATATTAAAACCAAACCCACGGAAATGGAAATATTTGCAAATACTATCCAGAGCTATAATCAAGGCAAACAACAAGAGTCATCTTGAAAAAAAACCCTCATTTAAAATTTAAGAATTTTAATACAGAACTCATAAAGTTTTATTAAGCACACAATATTCGGTACCAATTACTACTACTATTTATTAATAATCCGTGACGATAAAATATTAAAATTAAACTCGGTGGTTTGAGTATCTTTTTAATTAAAACAGAAAAAAAACAAAAACAAAATTGAGACCGGAATTGTCTTTGTTGATCAACATTTTCGTGATCTCTAATGACAGTGTTGATGAAAGATTACAAGTATAGTGGCGAGAACCGATAGGAAACATATCCGAAAGGAGGAAGAGGGGACAAGTATGAGTGAGGGAAAAAAAGATTCGTGCATAACCATAAAAAGGGTAAACATAACGATAATAATAATAATAAATACTTCTAAAGTAATATATGAAAACCAGACACTTTAAAGGTTGTGAATGTGGGTTACTTGAACAAAGAAATAAACTATTAATCAGACACATTCAAGAAAGTATATCATGATGGGAATCTATTAGTCTTCGATATTATAACATTTACGTCTTATTAAATGTACACTAATTAAACGCATGCACAAACATTTTGATCAGCAGAAAATAGAAATTTGATGTTCAATATCTAACAACAATAAAATAAACACTGACACTTTCAGATGTCGAATACTGTGAGATATCAATGAACTATAACGTCAGAATCAAAGAAAATCAACTGACAAAAGGTAAGCGCACAACTAATAGAAATGTATACGATTTTATAGTCACTGATCAAACTGATACATATTAACAAGGGGGGTGACTTTTCAAAGAATTTAAATGTCAGAAAATATCACGTAAAACGAGGGATTCGAAGAAGAAACCCCTTTTAAAGAGCTCAGTTCTAAGGTTATATAATCATAGGTCAGTGAATAATTAGACGCATGTTAGAATTTGATTATACAGTTTTAAATAAACAATTATATGCTGAAGGAAGAGATCTATGAAACATGAGAAATTTATAATACAATAAAGTGAAAAGTGTAATTAAGAGCATTGTTAAGTTGAAATAAATATGTATCAAGTCTCCCAGAATATAAAGTGGGTTAATTTGTTTATCTTTTTTTGCATCCCCAAAATGACAAATAAGTTTCTAAAACTAACCAACTCAATACGCGTATTATCATGATAGTTACAAAAATGATTTGTATCCAGACTTCTTGATTACTTATGACACATCCTCATTTCAACTTGAAAATGGTTCACAGCTACACTTTTCACTCAATTGGATTATAAATTTCTCATATTTCCTTCTTCAAAGACTATTTATTTATTTAGAATACCGTCGAACTTCATGTAACAGCTAGTAACTCATCGACTTATTCAGGTAGGGTTAAATCAGGCTATACACAACTGACACAATAAACTGTGAACAAATTACAGCTTTTCATACACATAACAGCTGAACCCACAATTTTTGAAGACTCAAATGAACTAAAAATGCATTGAGCAAGATCTCAGATCAGTTTACAATAAGAACTAACTGTTTAATAATAGGCTGTTAGATCTCAAAGATTGGCGTATAAAATGCCTTACCATATTTGGAAGTTGAATGACTGTTCTATTAAAACTTTAAACTGAACAGATAGATTACTAGTTACATCAGCAGAACTATGTTCACAAACATTATAAGCAGAGATGGATGGTGGAACCTAGGAGGCCGGTTTCGTACTATTACGAACTCGTCAGTTGGGCGCACCTTGATTCAAGAGTTAATGTTCGTTCCGGGACTCGAACTTAGTATTGTTCGCATAAAATACCCTCGCATGTTAACGAATATAAAATAACTGCCAAAACGTTGCTTTACAGTCAGTCACGAACCACGAGAAAAACGTGTGAACATATTCAATTTGCATCAACGAAAACAATAACAGTAAACATTCATCAATATGAGACGAAAAACAAAAATCTACTTGTTTCTTTCTTACATACAAAAATAAGAACGAAACAACAACTTTATGCTTGAGTGAGAATGAGTGTACGGTCCCTAATCAGATAATAGAACATATGTAAACAAAAATAATACGCTACGAGATACTAGGCGACTTTATGAATTTATACATACAATGCTTAAGAATTCTAAAATCGTTTGGTGCAAATCCGACGGTAACAAATAATTTCATCATAAAAAAGTGTTAACAATATGGATTAACATGCCAGGAAATAAATAAACGTTTATGCGCGACTACGGACATGAATTTGATTGAGAAAATATTTAAATCCCGGATCGAAGAGATTCTAAGTAAATTGGAGAATTTTTGTAAGGGTGACATTCAGATCAATCAGTAATTGATAGACATATCGAATTAGACCTGACTTCATTCGAAAAAAAATCAATCTAGAGCATGTGCAACGGAACAGAACGATCAACAAACGAAGACAATGAAACCTACGAAAATAACTAATCATAAACAAAGTGACCAGCGAAAGCTTACTTAACATTTGTGAAATAACCAAAAGCTCACTTCTACATGAAATGAGAGTTGGCGGTGTTATTCAAGACGACAATGAAAACTCCGCAATAAAAATCATTTAGCCCAGAGAACCAATCAACATCATAAGCATCCAATCGAGCTGAAACCTCCATTATACTTTCAATGGTCAACAGGATAGTAGTCAAAAAGAAAAAGAAAAAATAGAAATTCCAAATGAGATATCGAAAACTTACTCTTGAGGAGGTTTTGGTCCACTATACTGATCGGAGAAAAATAAATATTCGATTGATTCTTCAAAATCGTTCAGAAATTTACAAACCTATGACAAACAATGAAAACAGTTTTTTAATATCACAATGAATAATTCATGAGTACTGAATCCACTGTGACCGACAGCAAAAGGTTAGTCATGCATTTCGTATCACCAAACTTTAAAGTACTTTTACTACTTTCGAATAATAATACGACTGTATTCATTATTAATAGTAAATAAGTCCGGTTAGCTAAGTACTTAATGTGTGTGTGTGTTGGTTGGTTGAGTGTAAAAAGGATAATGACACAAATTAATCTACAGAAACTCTATGGCACCAGAGACAAATTAGTCTCCTTATGAACAGTCCGATGTTGTTATATGAACAGCTTTGCTTTCCGCTTATTAAACCTTTTAAATTTGAGATAAATGGATGTCTATTCAATCAAAAATACCTCTATACACCTACATTCATTTGTTGATAACACCTTAGAAAAAGCAACTTGCAGTTCAATGTGTTCCCTAAGAACGAAGTCATCTTAGAATACCGGCTTCAGTGATTATGAAACATTATGCATGAGTTGTTTCATTCGTTTTCAGAAATTGGGCTTTACATCTTTTCATAGGAACTGAATATAAAAACAGCGATACTTCTAATTTATGACATGGAACCGTCGAATATGACTCGGAATGAAAGCGTTCATAGATTCCACAGCAGTTTCCTTTAACATTTCCCATGCATAGTGACTAATAATGATGATAATAATAATAATCATTTTATTTAAAACTATTAAATTTTATTACAGTTAGAAATTCTCAGCATCAGTTGCGTATTATTGCAATAATTTTCTGTGTAAAATAAATTTACAATTATATTCTATAAATGTTTTTTGCAATAGTCACTTTTACTACCCATCTCCATTGTGGTGAAAGTCTAAGATCAGATCAGGTGCTCGACCATTATTCTTTATCCATCAATATGTTCGACTCTCGTTTTATTTAAATAGTAGACAAGGAAGTACATATACAAACAAGTTCCAGTGAGTTTACGGTCGTGATAGGCTGTAACCTATTCATAAAAATCCGCAGGTACGCGTAGTTAGGTATCATAGGTATTTGGTCCAGCCATATCTAAAACAGGAAGGTTTATTGCAGTTAGAAAATAAGTGACCTGAACGTCCGATCCGTCATTGTCAAATTTCTTTTGACAGGAACAAAATTTAGTTTAATTTACTGAATGTTCTGAACTAGAATTTTCATTTTTTCCTTACATATCGTAAGACACACGTCCAAAGGCTTCTTCAACTCCTAACAAATCACTGAGTATAAATAAAGTCGTTATAGAGGAAAATTACTAATAGATAAACCTATCATCAACAAATGTCACTAAAAATACAACATTATCAGCAAAAGCAGAATTGTGAATTGACTGACGTTAAAAAAGTGGATAATAATATTCTCAGGTGACCCTCCATTCATTCTTTCTCGGGTCATAGGTGACAACTATGAAGGAAAATCTACCAACTAAACTCTGGTTTCCAACGGTTGTCTAGCAAAAGTAACTTGGAGTTATTAACATAACCTTACTGTTTGTATGTTCTACAGTAAACAGAAATAAGCTGTGTTAAACAAATTTCATAATAACCTATTCATTATACCAAACAGATTAATGCTTAGTACGAATAATTAGAGAATACGCATGTAAGTCAATGATAACTGCTAGCCAGATCGCTAAATAATATTATTATGAACTTAACACAAAATGACAACTATTAACTGAGCTAAAATAAGATCGACTTACAAGAGGATTGAAAATTGCCGGGACAACTTCTGGAATCTCACTTAAAAGCATGAAAGATTCTGGCAGATATGAATGCCGTTGTCCACGTTTGTCTGGACAGTATACAACTAAATCTTGGTGATCTTTTGCTAGTGCTTGAAGACGACGCTTACGACCAACCGCCAAGACCCATCCATCCATTTCAGAATCGTCCATAATTACTTTCACTACCTGTGATAATAAAAATAATGAAAGTGTATCTTGGCAAACACATAATGAATGTATGTATCATATGTATGTATCATAATGTATGTATGAATCCTTTGTACACTGTATGAAGTCTAGATATATGAAGCTTAGTCCACATCAATTTATGTCGTGATTTAGAGGTTAAGTGTTCGCGCAAGAGCGAAGGTCTCGGGTTTAACTCCTGCGTACCGCGGAGTTCGACACTAGGACGAAACGGAAGTCCAGCGCTTCAAGGTCTCCAATCGTGGTCCAGCTTAGATGAGTACATGATTTCAATGAAATCCAACAATCTCCACAACTCCTAATTAAAATTTTAGCCTTTGATATAATTGCTATGAACAGAATAACTACACTGCTGGGCAATATTTCTGTTACTATTTACAACTTGAGATACAGAATAACTCTTCTAATTACAAACAAATCAATAGTTTGCAGTTAGATAATTATACGTATCTACTTACAATAAAGATCTTAAGACAAATAACATCCAAGAGTCAGTACGTACTTACTTCAAAGACAATAATGAATCATAATTTTAGTAATAATTGACTGCATATTAATATCCATTAATTCTAAATGTGGTCTCAATCAAGGTTTGGGATTTTTCTGATTATGAACATCTGCTGAAGATGATATAGACTGGTATCAAGGGTTATAACGGTGATAAACCATAAACAGTGGTGTAAGTACATCCACAGCCGTAATTCTCAATAATTACCACGAAAGTGTACAGGTCCGAATTGCTTTTTAATACTTTTACGAAAGCATAAAAAGGTAGAAACTCTACATTATTATCAACAAGTTGAAAATTGGTGAGTTATTGTCAAGAAGTCAATCTGATTTAATTTTAGGTAGTATGCACCAAATGTAGTACAGATTCCAGTGTCTTAACATGACAAATGAAGTTTAGCAGATCATTCCAACTTAGTATAACTCACCACCCGGTGGAGAGGACTTTAGACATACGACCTATTGCTTAAAAACCAATTTATCTAACAGTTAATCAACCGTTAGACAAGCAAAATAACAAAAACTTACAATGCTATCATGAACCGGTCTTATCCAGTTGGCGATTGCGAAGAATAAACATTGACGCTTAACTAAGCGCAACTCAATTAGCATTGCATCACAGTGTACACTTCCCGTACACCAAAGAGAATATAAATGTTCTGATTCCTTCATTAACGTTCCAGTTCCAGGTTCAGCTAGACCATCGTCACCTAGATAGTGAAGTCCAAGAATGTTAATATCTCAGTGAGAAAAGAGTTAAATAAAAAATGAACCTAAAATCCATAGTACGAGCAATAAAGTAATAAATTATGCTTTATTTATCCCAAAGTCCCAGCTTTGGTCCTCCCAAAAAGATCGTGGATGTGAAATGCTGAAGGAAGAGTCATATACAAGGAAGTAATTACCCAATGCTCTTTGGTTTTTTAATGGTACCGTACATTATGTTAATCCGTAATTGAAATCAACAACAAATAATACATAAAATAGGGATTCATACTATACATCAAGTAACTTACACATCACTAACCTTAACAAGATTAATTCATGAAAAAAAGATGAGTTACAAACTATGCAGTTAAATTGTAAGCAAAGATGGATAGTGGCTAGCAGTGGAATCCAGTTTGACGCGCGTTTCGTTCTATTTGGGACGCGTCAGCTGGATGTACCTGCATCTCAGAGTTGATGATCATTCTGGGACTCGAACCCAGTACTTTTCGCTTCAAACTGGATTCCACTGCTAGCCACTATCCATCTTTGCTTACCATGCTTGTGAAATAAGGCTATATCGAGGCAATATGCACAGTATGCACATATGCCAATAAGAGACTGACCAGTTGCAGTCTTAAACATCAATGGGAAGGTTCAAACAAGTAATACTAAGTGAATTTATGCAGTTAAATGCTTGAAAAAAGACTAACTAACAATAGTTTTATCTCAAGAATTATGTATGTTTAAATTTAGCCACCAATAGAAGAATAAGCATAGCCTAGTGTGTACGATACAAATAATTCAACACATCACACCTTTTCGCCCATATTTTAGAGGTAACCTGATGATTTTTTTATGGAAAATTATTGTATAACCACAAGTCTTTGATGACTAATAAACTCTGGTTATTTCATTGAATTAAAAACTTACCAACTACAGCAAAATTAGTTTCTAATAATGGTTGATGAGCAGAAAACCAAGTATTCGCCAACTGAGTATTTTTAGAACGTCCAATTAAAAAATTCAAGGTATATATCATTAAGGCTAATACAAAAAGTATTTCCAAACGAAAATTGTCCCACGAACGAGTAAGATGATGTGGAACCTAGAAATATATGAAGTGTGAAGATGTATGAAACTTACTCCCAATAATGAGTTAAAACAAATGTTAATACGATAAATACGTGAAGTGGGGTTACAAAACTTCATTTAACAAAATCTACGGTACAATAGTTTAATATCTCTTAAAACACTCTCCACTTGTCCCAATACGCTAACCACAACTTCTTTTTACATTACTCAAAATATCCTTGGAGGTACATACAAGTCAAGCTTTTCAAATGTTCCTTTGTTTCACGTTTTGCTAGAAATATACGGGTAGACGACTTTCCAGTTCATCAGAGCTCATCCGGACGGTAATAGGTGTTAGGAAGTTAGTTAAGAAATAATTTAAAGTGGATCAGTTAGCAAGGGTATCAGAAATTTTTAAACGGCATGAACTCAAAGTACGCTGTCTCACAGTATTTATAGAACAAGCGAAGTTCAAAACCATTTAAAACAGACAGTTTTGTAATTGCCAACAGATAACTGTTCAATGCAACATATAAAAGGATTTTAGACAATTTTCTTCATTTGACCCGATTTTACAAGATGGTATAAAAATGAAATTGTACGAAACAGAAATTCCTCTTTTAAATAAAACTTGGGGAAAGAAAAATATACCACGACTAAAGATCATGCCATACCATTGCATACCAATCAACAAAATCTCACACTTTAGACTGAGATGTAGAACGCTAATGATAACAGTGAAAATAAAATTGATAATTAAGACTAATACAAAACGTGCACTGACAATGTGATCATGTAATATTCACAACAAACTATGTGAATATATTTGATGTTTTATGAATCTTTGAAACAAAGAACACAAGTAAACCTCACAGAAAAGTACGTTGGTTAAGGTTACCACAAGTGACAACACAGAAAGCGAAAATCAACAAATTAAAAGTAAAATTATTAAGATAAATGATTGAGAATATAAAATACCTTTGCAATTATTAGATTTCGTTTACCACTTTTTGTTTTGTCGGTATTTAGAATTGGTTGATTGGGTGACAAACCCTCAAACTCTTCATCATCGTCAAGTCTCATGTCCTCGGACTTAAATACAAATAAAACCATTATTGATAAAAGTTATTAGTGAGGACAAAATACAAGTAAACAAATGATAAATTTAAAGAATATATATTACGTAGAAATAGTACGTTAAACCTGAACCTTCTTTTACATAGTATTTAAGACTGGAGTCAGTATTTACAGTATCGAGAAATGTAAAATCATTCAGACAGGCACGCTTTATTATTCTTCTGTTAGGGCCCAAGATTTAATGGGAACCACAAACTAAACGTTACGTGAATTCTAAGAGTCATATATGTTACTTCCGTTTTTAGGCTGATTGTAGAACAAGATAAAAAGGCACATGGATGGTAAATTAAGTTTTGGCATCACAAAAGCAAGTGGACAATAAAGCTAAACACACCAAACTAAGTACATAATATTTCTTTATATGCACACAAACATTGGTACAATGGGGCATCAAATACATATGCGCCATACAATAACAGTGAAGCCAGTAGTAGTTATCACTGATTTGTGTGAAGGCTGTGATACTACCAGAGTGCTCAAACCGAAGCAAATAGTTTACTTGGGAGGCCACTATCCAAATCTTTGACCTACAGGTCTAAACCAAAAAGTAGTGCAGCAACGTTAGAAGGTGCGATCCCATGGTAAGCGGTGAACAATAGGTTCATACATCATTTGTTCCCTTTGGATCTTGAAGCTAATGGGCACCATTAGTTTGGAACTAGGGTTTTCTAACTTCCCTAGGTGGGTTTTCCGTATCCATCATGTGAGAGCATTTTGAGAGGGAGGACGGACTCTCCCCACCCTCATTCGTACCAGTGCATTTGGAGCAAATACAGAATATAATCTTGCCGCTTAAGTTGAATTCTTGATTGTCACTCATACTGGCATGAATATTGTGGTTTGAAAGTGGGATATCTATGCTGAATTAACTTCAGGAAGCTTATACAAATACGTGTCTCGAAAAACAATCCAACTCAACAATACTATAGGTTTGTTTACTAGGTTTAAGATACACTTGTGTAAGGTCACATATAATCCGGTTGTCTAATCTGAAATTAAACCGGACTAAAATATATTATTTAATGGCTGTGAACTGAGTGCTAAAACTAAAATCATAACGTCATGTTATGTCCCGATAAAAATAATGAATGGAAACTTTGGGATCTATTTATGAGCTAATACTATGCATATATTTTTTTATCGTATAATCGCTAAGTAACTAAACTATTCATAATCGTGTCCCCCTTATTATAAGCTTTATTTTGAACTATAAACTACTGTTATATGATTTACCACTCCTGAATTATGTTCTGTCTATTACTTACTCTCTCCTCTATTCACAGCCACATTTGGCTGAATTCTGTCCAAATGTTACTTTCTATTTTATGGTACGATGTGGTCAGTTTGATTGGTATATAAACTCAGTATGTTTGAAATACAATTATTCATATCGCAGACGCTGTTCTGGACTTAACTGGCTGGGCTAGGCAGAAGCAGGACCGACAAGTACTCTAGACTGCTCGTACGGTTTCCGTGTCACTGTTTCAATCGATAATTCGCTGCTCTCTGGCTGGCGGTCCTATCACGTCATACGGTGACAGGGCATTCACTCGGCCACAAATTATGACACGTCAGTACTTACTTTGACCTCAGCCCTACTTTGTTGTGCAAATATGAATACAATGAAGTTGAATTTACATATTTCCAAGAGGTCGAAAAGAATTGCGTAATGTCCTAAGTCTATATCTTTAACAAGATTAAAATATGATAGACGTTTACATTTGTTCTCAAAACACATGGAATCAACTCAAAACTTTATAATCAGTAATCAGTAAAACGGTGCTTCAACTGCTAACCCATAACTCCACATATCTATTACTCACTTCCAACAAGTTATTACTTGATTTCTAGTACCCTAAAAGTTGTGATGACATCTAGAACTAGTAAACTAAACAGTGGAAATATTGAATGACACTCATTTCAATGACTAGCTATGTCAAACGTGATAAAATGAATGCTAGTTAAATGGTTGTGCAGGTTTAAGGCAAGGACCATAAAAAGTGGTATTTTGCATTCAATTTCAGTAAAATGTTCATTTTACATTTACTAGGCATACCTCTTCCTCTAATTCGCTATCCTCAACGGCCGCTCCATCAGTTGATTTAGTTGTGTGAAAGGCTGCTTCGCTATCACGATCGATCTCAGTGTTTAGAGAGAAACTATTTTCTGAAATATTTTTATCCACACTCTCAGCTTTGTGTTGATGGGCTGATTGGACAGGAACAGGTTCCGTGATATCAGCAGTAAAAGCTACAACATTTAGGAAATTAGAACATTAATAAAAAATATTGACAATAACTTCATTATTTTGCATGAATTTTAAAAAGCCAGTGTACGCTACCAATCCAGTTGAGTGTCTTCATCTTTTTCGCTTGTAGTTTACTAAGTCTAGTGATAATGTTCATAAACCCGACACAAAAATAATCAAGATTTACGTAAAAAGTTGAGCCATCAATAGTAATTAATTAAGGTTACGCAGTAATCACAAGTCAATATCCATTTCTTGCATTGCAAACTTGAGAAATATTTAGTTTATATAGTGATTGCTTGTCTGTACTATTTAGGGTAGCTCCCAAATGCCCTGTTACGGCCGAGAGTGGGGAGAGTCCGCTCTCCCTCTCCAAATGCTCTCATATGGCCACGCGAATATATAGCCTCTACCAGGGAAGTCCTACTCACTGCCTTCTCGCACAACGGGTGTTGTTTACGAAATTGAGAGGAAGAAAAGCGAATGTCCGGCGCTTTAACCGGGTTGGTGGACAAGTCGAGTCCACCTAGGGGAGTTGGAAAACCCTGATTCCAAACCAATGGTGCACATCGGCTCCAGTATCCTGAGGGAACAAATGGCGTATGAATCAATCATTGGTCACCGGCTACCATGAGACTGCATCTCCTCATGATGCTCCATTGTCTTGTGGATCAGATCATTAAGTCAAAGGCTCCGGGTGTGGTCCCCTAAGAAAACCACCTGCTTCAGTCTGGGCGCCTGGGCAGTATCACAGCCCTCACACAAATCGTATGAGATTTGTGAGGCGTATATATATCTGGTGCTTCCTTGTACCAAGATTTATGTGTCTAAATAAATATAATAAATAAATAGCTACAAAATAATACAGGATACGAAAATAATTTACACTAACTTAGGTAAAGTCAAGTAAATATGTCCAATATTCAGTAGATTATTCTTATGAATGAGTACCACCAACTTATCAATGAAGTGGTTTGAGTACAACATCCTTTATCAATTCTACAGACCCACTTTATTACTTTTAATTTATCAGAGATTTTTTCTCGTCAGACTAAGCATAGATACTTTCAAAAAACTGAAATGAACACTTTCGAATGATATGCCTCGTTTGCAATGGCGCAGGTTCATTCGTTCTTTCTCTCCCCCAAATTTCGAGATTCTAAGTTCCAAAAAAAATTTTCATTTTTATTTTACTAAATTTACATTTTTTTCGAGTTCTATCTTCAATGCACCCGGTCTACTGAGAACGATTCTGAGCCATGTCACTCAAAGTCTAACCACTGGTTACAATAATTACTCGAACCCGAACCAGGCAATCAACACTGGCAAATGTGGCGCATTCTAATTGCCAATAAATTTACAGATGGATGCCACGCTTTGGTGGTGTTATGACAAGCAGGTTAACAAAGGTATTTTAAGACAGTTAACAAAATACTTTACAAATTAAAGCCATTTTTCTTGCAATGTCGATTTCCTCTGTCGGGTGATTGTGAATCATCACCAAGAGCTTAAAGAAACACATAAAACATCCTCGCCCTAAATACAAACACCTCAGGCAGAGTGAGGGCATGCAACCACCTTTCTCCCTTGTTCTATTCAAGCAGTGGGGTTAGGCAGGGTTGCCCAATCTCACCATTCCTCTCCAACTTTGCTATCGATGCCATTCTGGAAACAGCTCTGATGGATGTAAGTAATGGCGGTGTGGCGATAATGCCCAAGGTATGCAATCCGCACTTTATCAGTTAGCAATCAGTGTCCACAGGTACGATATGTACTTTGCACCTTCGAAGTGCAAAGTACTCCTACAAGACTGGAAGGATTCTAATTCTATACTCACCCTAGTTGGTGAGCAGATTGAAGTAGTTGAGAAGTTCGTGTATCTAGATAGCTACATAAGAGCTGGTATGATGATGCACGTATGAAAGCCAGAGCGGCCTATGCCAATCTGAGCCATCTTTGGTGCCTTCGTGATGTTAGTCTGGCTGTAAAAGGTCGGATCTACGACGCGTCGGTGAGAGCAGTTTTGTTCTATTCTTGTGAAACCTGGCCTCTCCAAGTTGAGGATGTTAGACGACTCTCTGTGTTCGATCATCGTTGTCTCCGAAGGATTGCTGACATACAGTGGCAACACCATGTTAGTAATGCAGAGGTTCGGCATCGTGTGTTCGGGCGCAGAGACGACAATCCAATAGGTGTCATCATCTTGAAACACCGACTTCGGTGGCTTGAGAATGTTCTACAAATGATGTCCCAGAGAATTCGTCGTCAAGCACTATTTGCCGACGCTGGGACTAGTTGGAGAAAGCAGAGAGGTGTTCAGTGTATGAGATGGTGTCGTGGTATGAAAGAAAGCTGCAAAGGGCAGGCTTCTGTTGGCCTTTCCCGACCCCCTGTCTGGGGTCCGAGAGGTGGTGCAACACAGTGGCTAGAGACGTTATCAGTTATGGTTCAGAATAGAAGCCAGTTGCGATCCTGCCGAAACCTTTTACTTTCTTTATAGTGGTCATAGCCTCCTTAACTGAAAGAGTTCTTCTGGTTGTACATCTCCGTTCTTCCCATTATTACACTAGCATACACTAACCTGTGGTTACTCTTGTTTTTTTCTGATGCGCACCTTACACTTTCTCTCTTCCCATTCTCATTGATTTGTGTGGCACATATATACCTGGTGCCAACCCGTACCAATATTTGTGTTCAAATAAATAAGTAAATAAAGAGCTTGAAGATATGGCCAAGGAGATAACGTTGAGTGGGAGAATTTTAATGTGATACGGAGAGTTCGTTATGTCAGTTCCCTACAAGAACTAGAGTTTTGTACTAATCTACAGCAAGTAAAATATTATTTTGAAACTTTTACTTTAAAGAACAAGATGGACGGTATAATCCAACTAATATATAATCCTTACTCGGACAATTGCCAGCAAACCTTACCCACAAATGACTTTTCCAGACCAAAACCGGAATACATACATTTTGTCCGAAAAAGGTGTAAAGATAATCGCCGCACAAAGACAGACAAAACGTTTGAAGAGAACTGGTGGATATAAAATGAATGTAGAAATTTCCATATTGTATAAGGTATAACAATGAACGTTAGCTGCCATAAAACTAAACGATTCCTAAGGCGTCATTGTCTTACATCTATTCAGTGACTTGAAATAATAAAGTTGAAAGCCGGTATGTATGATCGAATTCAATTACTTGTGACTGTTTAAAGACAATAGGACCGTCATTTTTCACGTAACAAAATAGATATGTCCCTTTGAATGCGGTCAAGAAGAATGTCAGCGAACTAAAAACATACAGTAGCTAAAACTCTAGTCACAAAATGACATATCGTAGACTACTTGTAAACCAGTTCAATAACATTTGTCATCGAGTACTTACAGTCATCAGGATCCTCAAACTCGGCGAAATCATCATCTAGGTTGGCACCACAGACGGTGTTTAAATCACATAGAAAAGCTACAGCAATGAGCCACAAGCAATACAATGGGACATCCAACTGCGAACGAAGAAAGGCTAAAATCATATTAAACCAAAGGTCACGTCGTAAATTTAAATTGACCGCCTCCGATATTTCCAATGCTTTGTTTCTGAAGCGATGTTACCTGATTTGTTTCTTAGAACCCACGACTTTGTTCAGATAGAGATATTAGTGGTGGCTGCAATATTTTATTTACATCTGATTGTGCGAATCTGCTTGCTCAACTGCTCTGAATTTAAACTGTTTGGTTTCTGCATAAAATGATCCTGGACTTGCTCGCTATCCAGGCACAAATATTTTGAAATTCTCAATATCCCGGTTTTGTTTCAACAGTACCCAGCAACCTTAATTTCCCCTGTATGCTTTTTCTCCTGCGGATGTGGGTGAAAACCTGCCAACTGAACCATGGTGGATAGTTTCCGGATCCCTTAGTGTATTCCATGGAACTTGAGGTCCTGCGACCTTCTTGTTCAGACTACTAAATACCTTAAAGACCATTTCAACTAAAGACTCTGGTTCTCTTTTACTTTGTCTGAGAACTCTAAGTGTATAAATTGTCGAATATTTCCTTCACGAACTTTTGATTTGACTTTGACAGACACATCGTTATTGATAACCATATGGAAATAAAAAACTGGAACAGCATGATCTTTATTGCCTGTCCATACGACGTTTTTTTCACTGAGGATTTTACCTTCTCTCTGAAATTTATTACTGATGAAATGAACACTACTTGTTCATGAAGAGCGTCCTAACCAGTGACCACTCAATTAGAAAGACGGAATCCCACTCTGAGTTTATTTACACATGCATTTTTAAGCTCCTTGAGGTGGATTCGGTGACGACAAGTTCTGAAGACAGCGAAAAGGTATGATGTGTTAACACTCATGTCACTATTGAAGGTACGGAATTCCAGTTCAGCGCTATTCGAACGGGAAGTTTAGTCCTAACGTGATTTACATTTCTCAAACTTTTGCTGTGTTCTTACGCAACAAAAGTATCATTTCCAATCCAAAGAATCTATTCTGAGCTATACGTTCGGTAGATTACTTCTTTTTTGTGTTTCACTCAAATTAATAGTTAACTGTGGTTTTGCCTCAGCTCACTATCGGTTTTTTTTTTATAGTTTTCACGTAAAGGCTAGCTTTAGCTTATCGTTAACTGTTTTTATACATTTTTGATAGTTTTTGTTTACTGTGTGTTTTTTTAACGGTCCTAAATTTACTGCTTATATTTTTAAGACAGTCTAAATCACTAGCCATGAAAAATTCATGCAAGAGACCTGGTTGCCGTTTTGCCGTTACATCTGGCATGCAATGTGACAACTGTAAAGGTTGGTTCCATGAAGCATGTACAGATCTAACAGCAGCAGCTTATAGCAGACTCAGCAAGTCTGATCGTAAGTGGGTATGTGTTACCTGCAACACCGATACGGTAGTTATGTTGGGCACTATCATTACTTTACTGACAGGTCTGAGAGATAAGTTGTCAAAGAATTCGGTTAATGATATCATCATGACGGGTAACAAAGCTGGAACGCATAGGGCAAATAAGAAAAAGGATACTGACAGGTCGGTTATCGACGGTGCTGTTAACAGCACGAGTGATGATGTGTTGAAACTCAGCACCATCTTAACATCGACTGTCATCGACTCCCTCAGTAAACTTGGGTCCTCCGGGGAACGGTCCTTGAATGAGACAGTGGTTCCTAAAAATCCTGTAGGTGGATGGACTCACGTTAACAGGAGTAATAAAGCCCAAGCGTCCCCTCCGAAACTGAACGTCCCAAGTATCGTGCGTAAATCAATTGATGCTTTGGCCGCACAGTCTACACCCAAGACTGTCCGCCCGGTCATCACTGAGCCCAGGAATCGAAAAAGCGCCTCGACATCCAAACAACAAGATACCAAACCTAGACGCCCTGGTAAACCTGGGAAATCAATTGCGGTTCGTGACGACTCTGTCATAATCATGAACCTTATTGACAACCCCGACCTTCCTCTCAGTTTGCAGGACAAAAACGATAGGATGCTCTGGGGAGAATTAATCAAGAGGCTTGAACTCCCTAGATTAGAGCCTTTGACCGTCACACGGCTCACTCGGGGGAAGGACTCTAACCACCTAAACCACCCGAGGCTGCTTCGTGTTACACTTAAGAATGCCTCCGACGTAGAGGACGTCCTACTAGCCAGTCACTTACTGAGGTCCGATGGGAACGTAAGAATACTGCCCGACATACCGTATTCTGAACGAAATCTCATCCGGAACATCCCTAAGGAATCTCGCGAGGCGTTCTTCCGTGGACGAAATATCATTGTGCAAGGTGTGCCGGAAAATATGGACCCAGCTCAAGCAAACTCTGATATTCGAGAATGGAAATTCATCAAGCATTCCTTAAAACTCAAGAACATATTGACCCAACAGGTAATGAGACTGGCCAAGAGAGACGGAGATTCTAGGCCCCGGCTGCTGAAGATAACCTTCCCCTCCTCCCACATGGCGGCTGCAACTCTGGAAGCATTTCGTGCCAATAGACGTCGGTTGCCAACTGGCATCCATATGCATCCGGATAGGCCCCACGACAGCAGGATCAAGCACAAACGAAAGCTGGAGCTGACAATTCCACTCGTGGACTGTCTTGATCATAAAAAAAACGTGTAAAGGACAGGGACTACCAACTCGGTAAACATCGTATAGGTAGACTACCTGTCCACTCACACACGGCTCATATAGACAAACAAGAAGAGGCTCACGCGTTCCAAATTGAAAGCATAAACTGCCTATACACGAACGCCGCGAGCTTGCCAAACAAAATGGATGAGCTACGTGAACTTAGCAACGCTAATGATGCCCATCTGATAGGAATATCCGAAACTTGGATAACGTCTCAGTTTACGGACCAAGAGTTAGCAATAACTGGGATGTCTTTATTTCGCAACGACAGAAAAACAGGAATGGGGGGTGGGGTAGCACTATACGTACGGTCATGCCTGGATGCGCACCAACTTCACAACCAAGAGTTTCACAATCTTGACGAGTCAGTATGGTGCTCAGTAAGGTTATCTACCACCTCGAGGTGCCTAGTTGGGGTCGTTTACAGGAAGCCCACTGCCGACATCGAATATGACAAACGTCTGCTGGAAGGATTAACTCGCTCTACGCGTCTTGGATTCTCTCATATCCTGATTCTAGGGGATTTCAATCTCCCTAGAATCAACTTCGTGGAACATACATACATTGGTGGTGCCAACTCTACTGAAGCTCTGTTCTTCAACCTTATCGGCGACCTGGGATTATTTGAAAATGTAAAGTCGGCAACCCGTTGGAGAAACAGTCAGACGCCGTCACGCTTAGACTGGGTATTCACAAACGAAGAATTCCTAGTTGACGACCTCTCAATCCTGGCTCCCCTGGGCAAAAGTGATCACGCCGTCTTATCATTCAGCTTTATCAGCAAGACGGAGCTACGATATCCTACTAGCAACAAGCGCTGGAACTTCAAACGGTTGAACGTGTTAGCTTTACAGGACTATCTTCAACAGGTGGATTGGGATGTTCGCCCTGAAATTGAAGTGGATGCTCATTGGGATTTTTTACTGCACACGATTTTATGTGCTACTGAGCATTCAGTTCCTAAAATGGTCCTAAAAAGCTACAAGCAACCTGCAATCATCAAGAACCGCACTCGTCGTTTGTTAAGCCGCAAAAGGCATTGTTGGGCTGAATATAAACGAACGGATAACTACGGCGCGTACAGGCAATACAAACATATAAGGAACACATGCACAAAGGCAATAAGAGAAGACAGGCTGCAGTTCCAGACCAAGCTTATCGATAGATTCGTCTCCAATCCGAAAAGCTTGTTCAGTTATGCAGCTTCTCTTCGACAAGGCAAAACTGGAGTTTCCCAACTGCTTGGTCCTAATGGCCCGACCAACAACGACAGTGATGCCGCTAACCTTTTAGCTGAACATTACTCCCGGACATTCCAACTGACCCACATCAACCATACTGACGAAAGCTTCACCTGCACCTGTACAGGACTTTCCGAAGTGGACCTGAGTGCTGACTTGGTGCTCCGTAAACTGCAGAACCTAAAGAAAGACACTTCTCCTGGTCCGGACATGGTTCATTCCGCCGTATTGAGGGAAGCAGCTTCAATCCTGGCGACACCACTTAGCGTGATGTTTGCACACTCGCTAAGCAGAGGCAAACTACCGGAAATATGGAAGCTGGCCCACATCACACCAATTTTCAAAGGAGGTCGACGCAGTGAACCCTCAAGCTACCGACCAGTGGCCCTTCTCTCCATACCTTCAAAAATTATGGAATCCCTAGTATTCGACGGCATACTAAAACACTTATCATCCTCAAAGTTCTTCTCGCCTCAACAGCATGGTTTCAGAAAAGGTCATTCTTGTATGACCAACCTGCTGACTGCGGTGGATAGATGGACAACCGTCCTTGATCGCAAGGGGAAGGTTGACGTCATTTACCTCGACTTCTCAAAAGCTTTTGATAGGGTCAACCATGCATGTCTTATCAAGAAGCTTGGACGATTGGGTATAAAACCCCCTTTAATTGACTGGATCACTTCATACCTAGAAAACCGACACTTTAGGGTCAGGGTTAACTTCACTCTCTCTCAGGCTATGGAATGTCCTAGTGGGGTCCCCCAGGGTTCAATACTAGGACCTCTTCTCTTCTTGATTTATATTAACGATCTTCCTCAACAAGTTTCATCTGATTTATTGCTTTTTGCTGATGATGTGAAACTTTGGAGAGAGATACGTACTCACAATGATATACTAGTTCTGCAGGAGGATCTGACTCGACTTCAAAGTTGGGCAGACGACAACGGACTTACCTTCAACACTTCAAAGTGTAAGGTAGTCCATCTGAGACATGTTGCAGACTATAGTTATAACTTAGGTAACTCCCCTCTAGAAGTTTCCCAAGTTGAAAAAGATTTAGGAGTGTTGGTACCCTACGACCTGAAATCATACGCGAACTGTGACAAAAACGCCTCTCAAGCAAACCTTGCA